AGCGGTGGGTTTCTCCTGCACGGTCCCGGGCTCGCTCAGCGGTGGTTCTCCTGCACGGTCCCGGGGCTCGCTCAGCGGTGGTTCTCCTGCACCGGTCCCCGGGCTCGCTCAGCGGTGGTTCTCCTGCACGGTCCCGGGCTCGCTCAGCGGTGGTTCTCCTGCACGGTCCCGGGCTCGCTCAGCGTGGTTCTCCTGCACGGGTCCCGGGCTCGCTCAGCGGTGGTTCTCCTGCACGGTCCCGGGCTCGCTCAGCGGTGGTTCTCCTGCACGGTCCCGGGCTCGCTCAGCGGTGGTTCACCTGCACGGTCCCCGGGCGTCGCTCAGCGGTGGTTCATCCTGCACGGTCCCGGCTCGCTCAGCGGTGGTTCTCCTGCACGGTCCCGGGCTCGCTCAGGCGGTGGTTCACCTGCACGGTCCCCGGGCTCGCTCAGGCGGTGGTTCTCCTGCACGGTCCCGGGCTCGCTCAGCGGTGGTTCTCCTGCACGGTCCCGGGCTCGCTCAGCAGGTGGTTCTCCTGCACGGTCCTGGCTCGTCAGCGGTGGTTCACCCTGCAACGGTCCCGGGGCTCGCTCAGCAGTAGGTTCTCCTGCACGGTCCCGGGCTCGAGCAGCGGTGGTTCTCCTGCACGGTCCCGGGCTCGCTCAGCAGGTAGTTCTCCTGCACGGTCCCGGGCTCGCTCAGCGGTAGTTCGTCTGCACGGTCCCGGGCTCGCTCAGCAGGTGGTTCTCCTGCACGGTCCCGGGCTCGCTCAGCGGTGGTTCTCCTGCACGGTCCCGGGCTCGCTCAGCGGTGGTTCTCCTGCACGGTCCCGGGCTCGCTCAGCGGTGGTTCTCCTGCACGGTCCCGGGCTCGCCCAGCGGTAGTTCGTCTGCACGGTCCCGGGCTCGCTCAGCAGGTGGTTCTCCTGCACGGTCCCGGGCTCGCCCAGCGGTAGTTCGTCTGCACGGTCCCGGGCTCGCTCAGCAGGTGGTTCTCCTGCACGGTCCCGGGCTCGCTCAGCGGTGGTTCACCTGCACGGTCCCGGGCTCGCTCACCGGGAGTTTGCCTGCACGGTCCCGGGCTCGCTCAGCAGGTGGTTCTCCTGCACGGTCCCGGGCTCGCTCAGCGGTGGTTCTCCTGCACGGTCCCGGGCTCGCTCAGCGGTGGTTCTCCTGCACGGTCCCGGGCTCGCTCAGCGGTGGTTCTCCTGCACGGTCCCGGGCTCGCTCAGTGGTGGTTCTCCTGCACGGTCCCGGGCTCGCCCAGCGGTGGTTCTCCTGCACGGTCCCGGGCTCGCTCAGCAGGTAGTTCTCCTGCACGGTCCCGGGCTCGCTCAGCGGTGGTTCTCCTGCACGGTCCCGGGCTCGCTCAGCGGTGGTTCTCCTGCACGGTCCCGGGCTCGCTCAGCAGGTAGTTCTCCTGCACGGTCCCGGGCTCGCTCAGTGGTGGTTCTCCTGCACGGTCCCGGGCTCGCTCAGCAGGTAGTTCTCCTGCACGGTCCCGGGCTCGCCCAGCGGTGGTTCTCCTGCACGGTCCCGGGCTCGCTCAGCGGTGGTTCTCCTGCACGGTCCCGGGCTCGCTCAGCGGTGGTTCTCCTGCACGGTCCCGTCAGTTCTCCTGCACGGTCCCGGGCTCGCTCAGCAGGTAGTTCTCCTGCACGGTCCCGGGCTCGCTCAGTGGTGGTTCTCCTGCACGGTCCCGGGCTCGCTCAGCAGGTAGTTCTCCTGCACGGTCCCGGGCTCGTTCAGCGGTGGTTCTCCTGCACGGTCCCGGGCTCGCCCAGCGGTAGTTCGTCTGCACGGTCCTGGGCTCGCTCACTGGGAGTTTGCCTGCACGGTCCCGGGCTCGCCCAGCGGTGGTTCTCCTGCACGGTCCCGGGCTCGCCCAGCGGTAGTTCGTCTGCACGGTCCTGGGCTCGCTCACTGGGAGTTTGCCTGCACGGTCCCGGGCTCGCTCAGCGGTAGTTCTCCTGCACGGTCCAGGGCTTGCTCAGCGGTGGTTCGTCTGCACGGTCCCGGGCTCGCTCACCGGGAGTTTGCCTGCACAGCCTCCTCAGATGGGAAACTCAGTCCCTTGACTCTTCCCTGTCCCTTTTCTTCACAACCACTGAGACCCAACCTCTGTTCTCTGAAATGTCTCTGGAATCCTTCTCTCCTTCAGCCATTGTCCTAGTTATCATTTCTCCCCATGACATTTCAACACCCCACTGACTTTGTTGCTCCATCCATCATCCCTTCCCATCCAGCCTTTAGACTGCAGCCAGGATGAACTTTCTTTCTTTTTTATTCTCACCTGAGGACATTTTTCCATTTTTTGTTCAGATAGAGAGGGAGGGAGAGAGAGAGAGAAACATCAACGTGAAAGGGACACATCGAGTGGCTGCCACCACACAACCCCACCAGGGCCAGGGACAAACTGCAACCAAAGTACATGCCCTTAGCGGGAACCAAACCCGGGTCTCTCTGAACCGCAGGCTGACGCTCTAACCGCTGAGCCAAACTGGCCAGGGCCAGGAGGAGCTTTCTAAGACACAGTTGAAGTCATATCGCAGCCCTGCATGAAGACCTTGACCGGCTTCCCGTGTAAATGGCGGTGTTTTCAAACCATGGCCCACGACCCAACTGCATCAGAATCCTCGGGCTATGAAAATTCGGACTCCAGGGCCCTGACCTGGCTTTCTGGAACAGGAGGGCCTAGGATGTGCGTGTTTACTGAGCAACCCCAGGGATTTCTGAGCACTCAGGTTGGATACGCAGAGCCTGTGGAATAAGCTTGACCAAACGCTCATCACCAGGCTTTGCTTTCAGGTTTCGGTCCAGACGTTCATTTCCTTGTAGTCAGACCTCCACCCAGGGCCCACACACTCCTCAAACTTCACTGCTGGATCCCAGTGCCCCCGACAGTGCTGGGCAGGACGTTGGCACTGAGCGTGTATTTGATGGGCACGTTTAGGGAACATGGCTCTCTTGCCTACAAGCTCCTGACGGAGCCTCGTCTCTACAGCTGTCTGTGGGCAGCCGTGTCATCGTGTTGTGGATTCCAATTCTTGTGTGCGGCTCCCAGAAGGGTATTGGGGTCTATATCTCCTATCTAATTATGCAATGAAAGAAGAATCTTCCCCAGTGGGTATCATTTCCAGCATCCCATCAGAACAGCCGAGGGAAGTGTTAGTGGGGAGAAGGCATCAGGACAGAAGAGGCAGAGACCTCTCTGGGCTTCTGGGTCACACCAGTGGGGAAGTAACTGTCCTTTCCCCCAGCTCACCTGCTGGTCCAGGTTTCAGGCACAGCTGCACGGAGATAAAAACTCGACGCCCTGCCAATGCTGGGGTTCAGCTGACTCCATCCCAGAAATGTCTCATATCACCAGATTCATTCAAGCGCCGCAAAATGTCACATCTATGTCCTGTTCTGGGCAAAAGGCAGGTATTTGCGAATTCAAAATATTGTTTTGATCAACTTCCTAAAGGTTATTTGCACATATAGGGGCCTGGTCTGCAAGGGCAAAGTTCACAAAGCAAAGAACAAGCCCTGGATGGGTGACTCAGTTTGTTGGAGCGTCATCCTGTACACCAAAATGTTGCAGGTTCGATTACCAGTCAGGACACACACGGGAGGCAACCGATTGACCTTTCTCTCCAACATCAATGTTTTTTTCTCTCTAAATATCCCCTCCTCTCTCTAAAATTAATAAAAGCATATCTTTGGATGAGGATTTTAAAGAAACAAAAAACAATATTTTATATATATATTTTTTCTTTATTGATTTTAGAGAGAAAAGAAGGGAGAGGAAGAGAGATAGAAACATCAATGAGAGAGAACATCGATTGGCCGCCTCCTGCATGCCCCCCACAGCCTGGGCGAATGTCCTGACCAGGAATTGAACCAGTGACCTCTTGGTGCATGGGTTGACACTCAACCACTGAGCCACACCGGCGGGGCAAAGAACAATATTTTAGCACCTTCCCACCCTCCCAAAGAGTCTAAAAAAAAAACCAAGAACAAGTTAGTGTTGCAACGAGGGAGATGCTGTCTGCTGGCTCTTCCCTTTCCCTCCCTGGCGGTGGAAGTGACACACATACACACACATACACACACACACACACACACACACTTGTTATACAAGAGGAAGGGGGCACTGTGCAAACATTTATTTTGCAATTCGGAAAGTGTGAGGGAAGGTCTCCGAGACTCTTTGCCTGGAACGTGGAACTACTCAGCGTGTTTGTCGGTTCCAGCTCGGTGCTCGGTTCCGCGCTCTGTTTGACGTCTGCCAGTCGCTGGTGGTTTCTGCGCGGTCTGGCCCCTGGGGCCTGGGGACGTGACTACAGCTTGCTGTGGCCGCCATCTGTCTCGGTGCTGGTTTGCACCGCTCTCCTGTCTGAGTAGGGGCCCAGTTTCGTCCCGGAACCGAGACCACACGAAGCAGGTGCCTTCTCATTGTTCACGCTTTCAAAGGTATCGGTGCCCGACGAACGGCATTTTGCGAGCTACTTCCTCTCACCTATCGCCTACGGCACTTTCTACCTTGAAAAAAGTGGCATTACCCAAACGTGTATTTTAGCATCGCGTTTTAACGCGATTAACTTGGTTCCTCAGGCCCGGAGATGGAGGCACAGGGGATGAAATGATTTTCAAAGCCTAATTCAGGAGGCTCAGGCCAGGCTGGAAATGGACCCCAGGATCCCTGACCTCCCTGCTTTGCTGATCGTTTTGGCACTGAGCCAGAAACAAAGAACAACGCAGAAGCAGAGGCTATTGGGGAATCAGTCCGTTCTCTTTCTCAGGGAAGTGTCTAATTTCACCATCATTAGAAAGAGAATTGTACAGTCTAGTAAATATTTTTTTGTATGAAGGTTACACGTATGTAACCTTTTAGATGATCATGACCTTTGTATGGTTATAATGCGAAGGCTGTGACTCATAGCTGCAGTTCTCCCTTTTACTCCAATTCATCAACTTTCTTTCTTCTTTACTTATTTACAGAAAATTCCCCGAGGAGCTCCAGCCTGAGGCCTCCTCATGGATGAGTCCAATGTGACGTCCTTTGCAGTCGAGGGCTCCTCGAACACCTCCACCGGCCGGAACACCTCCGCCGGGGACCCGCGCCAGGGGGTCCCAGTCGTGCACTGGGTAATTATGAGCATTTCCCCCGTGGGCTTTGTTGAGAACGGAATTCTCCTCTGGTTCCTCTGCTTCCGAATGAGAAGAAACCCCTTCACCGTCTACATCACCCACTTGTCGATCGCGGACATCTCGCTGCTCTTTTGCATCTTCATTCTGACTGTCGACTATGCTTTGGATCATGAGCTCTCTTCCGGCTACTACTACACAATCGTCACGTTATCCGTGACGTTTCTGTTTGGCTACAACACGGGCCTCTATCTGCTGACGGCCATCAGTGTGGAGAGGTGCCTGTCTGTCCTGTACCCCATCTGGTACCGATGCCATCGCCCCCAGCACCAGTCGGCGTTCGTCTGTGCCCTTCTCTGGGCACTCTCCTGCTTAGTGACCACCACGGAATATGTCATGTGCATCGACAGCAAAGGGCAGAGTCACTCTCGGAGTGACTGTCGGGCAGTGATCATCTTCATAGCCATTCTGAGCTTCCTGGTCTTCACCCCACTCATGATGGTGTCCAGCACCATCCTGGTGGTCAAGATCCGAAAGAACACGCGGACATCCCACTCCTCGAAGCTGTACCTGGTCATCACGGTCACCATCGTCATCTTCCTCATCTTCGCCATGCCCATGAGACTTCTCTACCTGCTGTACTACGAGTACTGGTCCACGTTCAAGGACCTCCACCACATCTCCCTTCTCTTCTCCACCATCAACAGCAGCGCCAACCCTTTCATCTACTTCTTCGTGGGCAGCAGCCGGAACAAGCGCTTCAAGGAATCCTTGAAGGTGGTTCTGACCAGGGCTTTCAAAGATGAAATGCAACCCCGGCGCCAGGAAGGCAACAGCCATACCGCCACCATCGAGACTGTCGTCTGAGGACAAAAGTGGTGGGACGAAGGTCACTTGTAGTCAGTGCTTGCAATACAACTTAAGTATCTCCTCAATAGGACACAGAAGGACACCCCATCCCATATGCATGAGATGCCAATTAACCACGAGACTGTGCGCTTGCACTGTTTCTCCTGGAAATGCTACACACGAACCTCGGTTATTTCTATCCCTGTCAGAAAACCTCTCTCTGCCCCGTCCCGGGCCTTCCGCCGGCACTTTCCTAAGACGTGTATAGTTACCCCAGCAGGAAGGTGTGCAGACGTGCACAGGACAGGGCACCACGGATTTGCTGGACTGTGAAGAGGTAGCGGGACGCAGCGGGAAGGACTTGGGTTTGGGAGTCGGGCTGACTGTCGTTTGCAGCCTGTGTGACCTCAGACGAGTAGTTGACCTCCGAGCCCTGTTTCCTCACTCACGGGACGTTTGACAGCGATAGCCCACACCTCCGGGGCTTGCGGTGAGGATGAAATGGGGAGAGGGGTGTGCAAAGCCCTTGGCCCGTTGTCAGTGTTCAATAAACGTGGGTCTCTCCTCGCTGCTTCAAGTGGAAGAAGAAATACATACTTCTGTTCTGTGGAGCACACACCTAACTCTGTTACGTACCCGTATCATTACATGTTGTCAAATGTCAAGTGTAGATTTAAAGGTCTTTCTTCCACTCACAGCAGGACAGCTTTCCGTGACACCACCACGGAAACCGTCCGCGGCCCTGTCACAGCATGTTTCACGTGTGAACAGAGACTTCCGGCCACCTGTCGAGGGGCTGCCCGTGGCCTCCCTTCCCTTTGTGGGCATGCTCGGTGTCACCCAAGTCCGTTTGGACTCGCTTCGCTTGACATTAACTGTCGTGAGTGGAACTGAATTCCAGATTCAAGAGGTGGGTTATTTATTTGTAGCCACAGAGCCCTCACCTCTGGGCCTCCTCTCTTCCTGAGCAAGAGATTCTGTGTGTCCGTCCTGCAGTCCTGGCCGGAGGCTCCGCGGCCAGGGCTGGTGACAGTGTGGCCACATCCCAGAGGGGCCTTCGCGGGACTTCCTCAGCATCTCAGTGTCTCACTGCTCGCCGGCTGTGACTGTGACTGTGTCTGTGTCCTTGGCAGCATGTCCCAGGTTGCAGCGGGGACAGCCATCAGAGCCGATGGACGACATCACCGTGTTAGTTTCCTCCTGCCTCTCCTGGGCACCCATGAGCGTGGCATTGCTGCCCGAGGCTCAGTGGGGAGTAGCGTGTTTATGCCCATTAGTGTTTATATCAACTGTTTGTCTCCGAAAGGTTAGAGAAGTCGTGAGGACATGGTTCTCTGTCGCCACCCGCTTCTTCTCCATCCTCTTCCTTTCCGAAGAGACGGTCCCCTGTAAGCCTGGGACAGCTTTGCCGGTGGAGAGATGCTTAGATGCAGGCAGCTTTTCAGCTTGGGGGGTGGGTGACGTGTGATTCAGAATTGAGGCAGCTTGCTTTCAGAAGCCCCAGATGGGTGTGGAGCGATGACATTTAGAATGATCTTGTTTTTGATTGAAAACAGAGCATCTTCAGGGGGAATGGAGAGAATATGGAATCGGAGTGTCTGTCCTCCATCTACTGGCATCTCCCAGATGCCGCGCTGGCCTCCTGGTCAGTGAGGAGGGAGCCACCTCACGCCGTCTCTGAGGGATCCCGGTGCCGAAGAGGAATGAGAGGCTCCTAGAAACAAGGAGTTTTCGACCCAGGAAAATTCGATGAGCTCATGGGAAGCCCCTATGAATTGTCCCTCTGCAGATAAAGTGGGGAAGTTGAGTGTGTTAATGAATATAAACATTCTTCTAACTGTTTCCAGAGTCATGATTTGCAAAGAGCTAGAATTCAGGGTTTGGCAGTGTGGTAAGGACAAATTCCTCTCTTACTTCACCCAGACTATTCCCCCAAAGTCAAGTGTAAGGGGAGAAACAAAATCAGGAAGGCTGAAGGAAGGATGCACACAGGGAGGGGAACCTCTAGGACTTACGCCCCCCGGGACTGTAGAGGATACGTCTGTCATTGTCAGTTAGGAGGTGGCATTTCGGAGAATTCTTGGGCCTGGCTGGGGAGGAGGTGGTTCGGATCTAAGGCCTGTCCTGGACGAAAGGGAAGGGTCTGCAGTGTTCATGCTACAAATATTCGTGGATGGCCCTTGTCTGCCAAACTCCAGGATGTGAACACGGCCAAGAGAAGGTGGAAGCCCCTGGGGTAGCAGGGGAAGGCCACACAGGCATCTACAGCTCATAAATCAGTGTCAGGAGAGTGTCGTAAACAAAGTTGTATGGCAGTCAAGAGGGAGGTGAAATCACATCTTTTGTATTTTTAATCCTCATCCAAGGATATTTTTCCATTGATTTTCAGATAGAGTTGGAAGGATGGAAGGAGGGGAGGAGAGAGAGAGAGAGAGATTGATGTGAGAGAGACACACCGATTGGCTGCCTCCTGCACGACCCCAACCAGGGGCAGGGATCGAACTGCAACCAAGGTACATGCCTTTGAGACCAGATTTGAACTCACGAATCCGTGCCTCTTTGGTCTGCGGGCCACACTGTAACCGCTGGGCCACACCGGCCAGGGCTCACATCTTTTGTAGTGAAAAAGGAGTGTTTCAGGGAGGTGTCCTTTGGCTGGTTGAAGGCAGGTAGGATTTCAAAAGGCTAAAGAGGGAGAGGGCTCCAGGCACAGGGCAGGCCTGAGCGAAATCGGCGACAAGTCCACACGGGAGAAGCAAGTGCTCCCTCTTGTGTGGGGCGGAGGCCCTGGAGACCCATGGGGTCCTGCTCACCACCCCCCTCTGTCGTTGTTGCTGTCACCGGGCCCTGTGGCCCCACACCCTTCAAGCTCTCTGAGATATGGCCCCAGGCCTTCTGTCCACGGCCACTGTCATCATCCCGTCTTGCCACGCGGCCATTCTAACTTCTCATCTCCACAAGTCCTGCCCTGGCCTCCGTCTCTGCGTCATCTCGGCTGACCCTTGGCCCTCTCCTTTCTGAGCTACACTCTGAGCCCTACCACAAACCCATCAGCTGGCGAGAAGTGAACCCCGCAGTCCCACCGTCGGACCGCGGGCTCCTGTCCTTGACAGCGGTCCCTTTCTTCCGCCCTCTGGCCCGGATTTCTCCGCCACAGGACCGCTTGCCCCTCGCTGCGGAGTCCACTGAGTCCGAGTCTCCTCCGCGTCCTCTCTGCAGCTGTACAGCCAAACCTCTGGTGTCCCTGCTCCGGTCACTCTCTAGGTGCTCCTTGGTTCTGTCGCCCTTGCTCTCCCGCCCTGCCCTTCTGCCCCGTTGCCTCGGCCTCCAACCAGGCTTCGGAGCCGCGCAGAGACCTCAGCAGTCAGGGGAGGGCTCCTGCTGAGTCATGGTCCCACCAGGCTGGTCTCTCCTCACAGGCCATGAACTTCGCCGCCTCCCCTGGGCAGCCCTGCAAACCTTCTCTGTCCTCAGACTCGGCACCTCCCCTCGCTGTCTCCATCTCCTCACGGCCTTGTTTCATGGGCCACTTAGAAAAAGATCAAGGCTACGGGGTAACAACTCTCAGACCCTCCCCATCATCTAGGAGAACCCCAGTCCCCACTGTTCCTCCTTTTCTCCTGTCTGATGACTTTCTCCTCTTCCAAATGTTCCGTCCACTGGCCTCTTGAACGATAATCTCACACGCATGCCACACGTGTCTCTGCACACAGGTTCGGCGAGGCAGGGGAGCCATGAGTCCTGACCCTTTGATACCCACACGGAAGCTTCTTTCTTTTTTTTATCCTCACCCGAGGACATTTTTCGATATTTTGTTCAGATAGAGGGGGAGGGAGAGAGAGGAACAGAGAGAGAGAGAGAAACATCAACGTGAAAGGGACACATCGAGTGGTTGCCACCCACACGACCCAACCAGGGCCGGGGACAAACTGCAACCGAGGTACATGCCCTTAGCGGAACCGAACCCGGGTCTCTCTGGACCACAGGCCGACATTCTAACCGCTGAGCCAAAGTGGCCAGGGCAGAAATGAAGGGATTTAATTGAGCGTGTTTAAGGGAGGCTCTTGGAAAAAGAATGAAGTCCTCAGGTATTTTTGCAAAAATTATCCATTTTTTGATATTCAAAAAAAGTGTGAAATAAAAGGCGTCATATCATGGTGTCACACAGTGTTGTCAGAAAACATATTTCAGACATTAACTCTTTCCAGGGACTTAAAACAACAACCTAAGGTCCTTTGTCAAGGCTCCGTGGGTTGATTGAGCTGAGCCAGGTGCTTCTCATTCGGGGTCTCTGACAGCTGCAGTCAGATGCTGAGGGGGTGGCAGTCATCGGAGGCTGGACCAGGCCGGCACCGGGATGCTGCGCCACCTGGCGGGGCCTGGCGTGGGCCCCGTGGCAGAGGCGGGCTAGACGTCCTACACCTGACCTCTTGCACGGCCGGAGTTTTTTACAACATGGCAACTGTGTCCTGAGAGGAGCCCTCCTGTGAATGAGCTTCTCCAAAAGGCCAAGTTCAACTATTGATTTCTCATTTAAAAAAAAGAATTAGCATGTGGTTGAAATTGCATACATTTTGATAAAGACAGACTAAAAATTTTTTCCCCATGATTTAAATTTTACGTCTCAAGATAATGTACCGAGCTTTTTCTCTTTCAGGGTTCACTACGACATTTTGGTCCTCCTTTGAACGGACTTTTACTGAACTGGTTGTCCTTAGACAAGGAGGCCCCTCCTGCACGCATTTCTACCTTTAAACGTGTGTGGATGAGTGTTAACACGCGAGGCTGTATCGTCAAACAGACGCGCCGTGGGTTTCAGATCTTACCCAACCAAACGAACGACGCCAAGTCGCATGCGAGGGCAGGCGCCCGCGAAACGCCCTCTCCTGCAGGAGCGCGGACACGGGGTGTCCACGACGTCCCCTCCTTCCTGAGACAGGTTCAGGTGGGCCGGTGCGTCTCGAGCAATGTGGACAGACGCGCTCTTCTTGAAGGAAGCTGTTCGGTGTGGGGCCCCTCCGTTTCGTACTCTGATGACTGCACAGATAGAAAATGGATGTGTGACTGCCCCTTCTCCAGTCCTCCGCACCCCATCAATCTATACATTTTAATAAGCAGTGTTGAGAGATCAGGTAGCCCTGCTGAAACTGAGATTATCATCTTTGCAAGGAGCCCTGGTGGGGGCCATTCACGCTCCAGGGCACCCATGTGGGGAAGGAGGGAGTTACAGGCAGCTGCCAACACTCCCTTCCTATTTTTCAAAAATATATTTTTATTGATTTTTTTTTAGAGCGAGAGATAGAAACATTGATATGAGAGAGAAACTTCAATCGGCGGCCTCCTGCATGCCTCCCACTGGGGATGGAGCCTGAAAACCTCGCATGTGCCCTGGCCGGTTTGGCTCAGCCGTTGGAGCGTGGGCCTGCGGACCAGAGTCCCAGGTTCGGTTCCCGCTAGGGGCACGAAGGAAGGAAGGAAGGAAGGAAGGAAGGAAGGAAGGAAGGAAGGAAGGAAGGAAGGAAGAAAGGAAGAAAGAAAGAAAGAAAGAAAGAAAGAAAGAAAGAAAGAAAGAAAGAAAGAAAGAAAGAAAGAAAGAAAGAAAGAACCTCGCATGTGCCTGGATTGGGAATTGAACCAGGACTTCTCAGTCCATGGGACAATGCTTAATCCACTGAGCCACACCGGCCGACTGACACTCCCTTTCTAATACCTCAGCCAATGCCAGACTGTAGACGCCAGAGGGGAGACCTCTGTCACTAGCAGGGGACAGTGCACATGGAATGAGGAGGCTAGAACTGAAACCCCGACTCGATTTATTAGCTGTACAAGAGTCTACACCAGTTTCATCTCTCTGACCCTTCATGATCTATAATTAATGACTTAGTTGGAATTCCCCCAAAGCAGATTTTGAGGCAAGGATTTGGTGCAAGTGATTTATTTACGGGGATGAGGAGGGAGCAGGAATTCAGACAGGGCAGGGGTAAAGCCCACATGGGGTGAGTTAGTGGGTACCGCGGCCCAGGACAGTGGGGACCCTCCTCCTGCCCACGCCTACAGTGACAGCTCCCAGCTCTTCTGGGCCTGGCCCGTGCTCAGGTGTAGCACTGCTGGCCACCGTGAGAACCCCTGGAGGCAGAGAGGCTCAGGGAGCTGCGGGCAGGTGCAGGGTCTGACTGCAGGTGACCTCAGGGTGGTCTCAGGGATGACCAACAGCATCCCATCTAGTGGGATAACAATAACCTGCCTCACAAAGGAGCCGTGCCAAGTAGGTGAGCTAATGCGTGTGAAGCTGTGTAAAATGGGACACAGCCATCAAAAGTTACTTAAGACAACATGCTGAGTGAAATAAGCCGGAGACAAAAGGACAAACGCTGCAATTCACTCCTAGAGGACTGAGTCCTAGAGACGGGCAGTGGAGGGTGGCTGCCAGGGGCCGGAGGAGGGAGGATGGGGGTGTCTGATGGGGACAGAACTTCTGTTTGAGAAGATGGAGAGGTTCTGGAGACGGATGGTGGTGATGGTTATATAGCCATGGGAATACACTTAAAGCCACTGAAATGCAAACGGTTTGGTATATATATTTCACCACAGTAAAACCAGCTAGTCCTCAGACTTTCAAGGCCCTAGGTGTGATCCCTGGCCTCCTTGACAGCGCCTGGCCCAGCGATGGGCACCACACCAATAGTGCTGGTGACAAAGAAGGAAGGCAGACTCCTTCCGTCCCTCCAGGGGGCGCTGTGCTGTGCTGGCTCCGTCTCCAGCTACAGTTCACAGAAAGGTAGGAGGCTAATTAAACGATACATCTCAGACAGAGTCTGTACATTCTGGAGCAGCCCCACAGGATCCCAACGAAGCCAATGCAGAGCCCAGAGCAACCGTTTCGGACTTTGAAGGCCACACAGTGTGTGTGGCAAGGACTCACCTCTGTCCCCTTCGCACGAAAGCAGACGCTGGCGATACGTAAATGGTGAGCATGGCTGTGTTCCAGCAAAACGTTATCTACAGGCGCTGCAGTGAAATGTCATGTAATTTTCATGTGTCATAAAAATGATCGTTTTTCTTCAAACATTTAAACATATGAAAAAATACCTGGCCGGGGAGACACCATGACCACAAAGGTGGTCTTCCCGGGGCGAGACTTCTCCATTGCCCTCCGGATGTGCTGACCCCGTGATTTCCCCAAATGTGGGGAACTCGACTGCACAGTCTGTGGTAATGGGGGACCGCGTTCACGCTCCCCCCGGGGGGGAGGGGAGTGAAAAATTACTCTTAGCTGTAGCCACATGAAAACAAGTGGCAATCAGCTTGTGTGGCCACAGTCATTTATTTGCCCCTCTGGCCTAGAGTGGTTTGGGAATCCCTCTTTTGGAACTGACTTCAGTGTGGCCACAACCCGTCCATGTATGACCCTGACCTTGGCAGTGGTGGCTAGTTTCCGTTGTTTCCGGAGATGTGACTTTGCAAACAGACCAGCAGACATTCCGCCTCCAGTCTGATGAATGAGAGGCAGGAAGCTGAGAATTCCACTTCTGGGGACTGATAGGGGACCCTCGAACCCGAGGGAGAGATTTCCTGGGGGAGCTAAGTTGGCAGTGAATATAATTCCAGTTCTATGCTCAGTTGTATTTAGTCATGCCAAACTACATCCTCTGAATTCGGAGGAAATTATTGGAGTTTTTCAGAGATCAGGAATGAAATGCTCATGCATAAGCATTTGTTTTTTTTTTTATTTTTTAATTGGTTTTAGAGAGGGAGAAGTGGGGGTGGGGGGAGAAACATTGATGTGAGAGAGAAACATCAATTGGTTGCCTCCCATCCATATTCTGACCAGGAATCAAACCTGCAACATTTTCATGTACAGGACACGCAACCAACCAAGCCACACCGGCCGGGCTCTTGTCGGGCTTTTAGAAGGATGATGATCTCACATGTGGCTGTGGGTACAGCACGAATAAAGTCTACTTGCTAATGAGTTAGAAAACAGAACGTTTCTAATATTGGGCTGATCAGCACTTGCAAGCTTTGTACCACCACCACCCCAAACGAGGAGCATATGCCTTGTCCCGAGTCATGGGATGAATATTTCAGGATATTATTAGTGCAAAGGTCATCCTCACACTGATTTACTGATGTATGCTTTTGATCAAAGTGCACTCTATAGAATGATTTGCCCTCAGGCAAATGTAGAAAGCTAAAAAGATTACTTAAAACACAAAACAAAAAAACGCAGCACAATGAAACATCATTTAGAAACCCTTCAGCCTTACCAGGCTGGTGTGGCTCAGAAGACTTGGATTCCTGGTTGGATTCCTGGTCAGGGCACATGTCGGGATTTTGAGCTCGATCCCCAGTAGGGGGCGTGCAGGAGGCAGCCGATCCATGTTTCTCTCTTACATTGATGTTTCTCTCTCTCTCTCCCTTCCTTTCTCTCTAAAAAAAAAAAAAATCAATAAAAACATTAAAAAAATTGTTTTAATCCTTCAGCCTCATTGGCTCTGCTGGAGCGTGGTCCAATGCTCATGGGAAATTGAAGGTGTTCCCAAGTGCTTCCTACCTTTCTTCTTCCAAGGAGAGAGGACACCAACAAGGCCCGAGCGGTCGAGGGGCCATTTCCCTTCCTGCCACTCACTCACCCAGCCAGGGTACGACAGCGCTAACTATATTTGTGGAGGGCTGAACACCCCAAGTTTTGCCTTTTATTTCTACAAACCAAGAACAAGCACTCCCAGGAGAGTTTCAGGTTTGAAGGAAGGGCCTTCTGTTAGGCACGTGAAGTCGAAACATCACTGTTGGTTTTACACCGATGGAGCTTGTCCAGCCTGTGGCCCAGCTCAGTCCTCATGTCCAGCCGCTTCCCTGGGCCGTCCCCGAGGAAGGGGCAGAAGCTGCACAGCCCGTCTCGCAGTCCTGCGGGCTCTGTCTTTCCCGCCAGACCTTATCCCCAGCTTTCAATCCTTTTCCTTGTTTGTCCTCAAGCTGGGTGAACTGAAAGGGCGCAGACGAGGCCAGGAGGGCAAACGAGGTTGAGAAGCACAGCCAGACTCGGGTGTCTGGGTCCGTGCACGCTCCCTGCACAGATCACGGCGCTCTGGGGACCGGAAGGGAATGACGATACTGGGCCAGTGGCCTGGGAGACGTGATGGTCTCTCCTGTCTCTGGGGTTACAAGAGATGACCCGAGAGACCAGTGGTGCTCATTAAAGCTGGCCCAGGTTCAGTAAAGGGACCGACGAGGCAGGATATTGATGTCTTAGGAGCCTCTGCCGGATGACTGAGATTTCTACAGGTTAACTTTTCTCAGAAGGTGTCCTCAGGGAGAACCCAGCCCCCTCGGTCACAGCCTGGAATGACAGCGGAAGTTGACCCAGAGAAAGGTCCCCACTCCAGGCCCGAGTGGCCCCTGGACTGGTTCCTAGTCCACGGTGAGAGCAGACTAAGAGGAAGTGTTGAGAAAATGTTATAGTACATTTCATGTGTGTTGAATCTAATAATTAAAATATTGGACTTGTATGTTGTATGACTTCACTTTTTATTTCATTTTCCAACTCATTGATTTTTATTATATTTTTTTGGGGGGGGGGAAGGTCTGCAATGGATTGGAAATAAAAAATGGGAAGTATCCTTGTCACGGCTTGTTGGGAAGCCCTGCTCTGGGGTCTGTGACCTTGGTCTTGATTTCCTCTCCTGTCTCTTCCTGGGGAGTGGAGCGTCCCTGGGAAGGCGTGCTATTGTATCGTGTTGTCATGTATTATATCGCACAACCCTGTGTTGTGCTGTGTTGTGTTGTGCTGTGCTGTGATGTGCTAGGTCTAAGAGAAGTGGGCATCGGTGACGGAAAGACTGGCAAGGTCTGGAGCTGCCATCGGGATGCTGAGCTGCCGCACCAGGCAGATGCAGCCAGGTTGTGGTTGTTGATGTGCCCACAGCGCCATCGTCTGGACCCCACCCGGAGGCTGAGCTGTCACTGCCTCTGCAGACCCCGCAATTACATTCAAATCACTTATTTGTCCAGGCAGTGTCCTGAGCAAGAGTGCAGTTGGCAATGCCAAATTTACACACACCCAGGCTGCTGCGGGACAGGCAGAGGACGTGCCCACGCCCCTCCCTCCCCTTGTGCAACACTCCAAAACGACACGCGCCCCTCACGGCCCATGCCTCTGGCTGCCCGGCATTCCACACACGCCCCTGTCCCCACCTGGGAGTTCCCCCACTTCCTCTGCTCACGTCCCCCCCCCCCCCCAGCTCCGAGTCCGGGATATCTAGGCGCCATCCATTTTCCTGCCTTGGAAACCTTCCTCTGGGTTTAGAGAGAAGCAATGAAATAGAAAACCCTGAAAGGGAGGAAACCACAGGGTAGCAAAATTAGCTTCTGAAAAAATTAAGATATTTTCCATTCCACGTACGTTCTGTGGAACATCCATCTGCACAGCTAAGATGACGTAACCTATGGTACAGTCTTTGCACGATCCACGTGGGAATGAGTTGATGATATGAACATTATAGGAGTGTAAAGTTCAGCACAGGGGATCCGGGATGGGCTGTGGTATTGTCATAACTGTGTACTAGACTGGCCACTTTGTAAGCTGTGTAAATATCTCATCACTGTCCTGTATGCCTGAAACGAATATAACATTGTATGTCAACTGCAATTTTAAAAATATTTAAAAATTATATACAAGCAGGCTGTCTATATGTTTTTTTCAATTCCATGATGCTTACAGGAAACGAAGGGGACAAACTTTCTTACTTTTTTTTTTTTTTTTTATCCTCACCCGAGGACATTTTTCCATTTTTTGTTCAGATAGAGTGGGAGGGAGAGAGAGAGAGAGAAACATCGACGTGAAAGGGACACATCGAGTGGCTGCCACCCGCACGACCGACCAGGGCCGGGGACAAACTGCAACCAAGGTACGCGCCCCCAGCGGGAACCGAACCCGGGTCTCTCAGGACCGCAGGCCGACTCTCTAACCTCTGAGCCAAACTGTCCAGGGCCAAACTTTCTTACTTTTTCTAGAACCTTGGGTACGTGGGGGACTCCTTGTGTTTTAAACAGAAGGGGGCGATGTTTTGTGCAGTGATCTCTCTGGGAACGAGACCCACTGGCCATGGCTGTGAACCTCCCTCTGCGTGACCAGCGATTCCTGCTTGTGAGGTGGGGACTAACGCTGCCAGCTCCGGTGGCTGTCCCCCACTTGCCGGCTCTCCCCTCGGGGCTTCGCGTGTGTATCATTTAACACACACCACTGGAGAAGAACATGCTGTTGTTATCTCCAGTGCCCCAAAACTAGTGGTGGAGCCAGACTCAATATTCGTGTCTGTCCCTGGGGACTGAAGACTCACTTTCCCTGTTACTCCCGAAAAGGAAGCGCAGACCTTTGTGGTCACTGGATGACCGGAGGGGCCTGGGGAGCGTTAGGATGTTCCCTCAGCTTGCTGTCTTCAGAGCGAAGTAGTGCAGAGCTGAGCTCTGGCCGTCGTGGCGCCTTCGTGGTTCCCGTCTTCCCCCTCCAGCTCGGCTGCTCCGCGTGGTCTTTGGGGTCCACTCCAGCCGGAGAGGGACCGGGGGCTGCTGCGGCGGACTCTGCACGGCTGCACGGCCCCGGCCTGCGGCGGCACCAGAGGAGCCGGGGAAGCGGGAACCTCGCTTGGAGCCTGCGTTCCGGTTCTAGGGCCTCCGGACACTCCTGCCCTGTGGGCGGTCTCACCGTGTGGTCCTTCCTCCTGCAGATGGGTCCTGGGGACTGTGCCTCGACGGAGTGCTCCGGTCGCAGCGAGCCGGGGGCACGGAGCGGAAACGATGACAGGGGCCAGAAAGGCCAAGGGCAGTGCTAAGGCGTCTTGAGAAGAGTAGGAGAGGAGGTAGAAGATGAGACATAAGGCTAAAGGATGTGGCAAAATGCCCGAGCTCATGAACTAAGAGGAATGCAACCGGCTTGAGAAACATAGGAATTAAGATTTTACAAGATTGTCCATGAAAATAAATTATGTAATAATTAGCAGGAATCCACATCTTCTTTCATTCAAGAACGTAAACCTTTTTAAACAAAGAAAAGGTCCTATGGAGTACTATGCAGCTATAAGAAAGAGAGATCATTTACCCCTTGAGACGACATGGAGGGACCTGGAGCGTATTATGCTGAGCAAAATAAGCCACTCAGAGGAAGGCAAGTATCACATGATCTCACTTATTTGTGGAATCTAATGAACAAATTAAACTGGTGAATGAAATAGATCCAGAGACGTGG